GCATTTTCTCTAAGTTTTATTATAAAGATATTATAAAGATATTATAATTTCTTTTTCTAAGTTTTATTATAAAGATATTATAATTGGACAGGGTCTGTATTTTTCTTTAGTGCCTGTTTTCAAAATAATAACAAGCAGAATTATTTCTATTTCATATACTTGCATGAATTTTAAAAGTGGAATAATATTAATAAGGAATACAAATGAACTTATTAATTAATGTACTGCATACACTTATTTGTGACTATATCATCTTTCTGTAATGGACAAATAAGGGGCTTTATTCCTATCTACATACTGATAATATACTACAGGTGGATCAGGTGGAGACCCAGTTATCTACTTCTTCCCTGTCAGAAAAAATAGTAATGAAAAAGTTAGCTGATTCTTACTAAGTGCTAAACAAAATACGAAGCTTTCTTAAAAAGCTTATTGAGGCAGCTTATAAATCAATTTATTGAACACTAGGGTGAAGGTAACTGGGTTTGACTGATTGATTGATTGATTAATTGATTATGTGCTATCAAGTCATTGTTGACTCTTAGTGACCACATAGATAGATTTTCTCCATGATGATCTGTCCCTAACCTGGTCCTTCATCTCTTCCAACAGCGCCCCCATCACCACTGTAACTGAGTCTATCCACCTTGCTGCTGGTCGTCCTTTTCTTCTCTTTCCTTCTACCTTTCCCAGCATTAGAGCCTTCTCCAGAAAGCTAGGTCTTTGCATATTGTATCTGAAGTAGGATAATTTGCAGCCAGCAGCCTTCTTTTACAAGTAGATGTATGCATGCAGGTAGAACATTCAGTTCATATTCCCCATTTTGGATTGGTGTGAGCTTAATGTATCTTTCAAAGTGCATGGAGAAAAAGAAAGTGAAAAAAATGTACCATCAAAACCCAGTGATATTAACACCAAATTTAATGCAGCAGAAGCTGCAGAAGAGGACTGGATGCAGCCTTTGGGCTATGAGTTTTGTGCCCCTTTTTACTATTGCCTATCTAAGTTATGCAAAAGGGTGTGGAGGGACAAGCCAGCAAAAGAAAGATGGAGCTCCAAATTGGGCCAGATCCATCCTAGGCTGTAGAGAAAAACATTCCAGGAAAAAAACATCTCCCAACATACCTCTTTGGGAGAGGGAGTTGGGCAGCTGTTTGCAGTGGTGCTGACTGTTTCATTCTAAGCATTCTTCCCTCCTGGTCATGATCACAGAGGATACTACAGCTCACCCTGTGCTTCCTAGTATACTCCAATTCACATAGATGCAACATCAGGTGAGAGCAGAAACATGCACATAGATACCTAGGGTGGTTGAGCCCCTTTGGGTTTTGGTTCCGTCTTCCAGTCAACTATATCATTTTTCTTTCATATATGTTGTTTTTTTCTTTAATGTTTTAATTTTAAACCACCCAGAGTTGGGCAGCCTTGAAACTGAATGAATGAATGAATGAATGAATGAATGAATGAATGAATGAATGAGGCATTACTTCATTACACAGACAAAAATGGAAGATGCCTGCTATGACCATTGCTGGCAAAGAGATTGGAAAGAATTCCAGAAGTTATGTTTTGCATGCTTTTCCCACTTTATTATGTGGGAATAATGAAGCTGTAATGAACATGCATGCCTGGCTGAATCAGCTTGCAATCATGTAAAGAATTTAATCACAAAGATAGTCTTTATAGTGTTTTTAATTAAAACTGAATGAATATAGGATATATTAGAATGTATGAGTTATTTAGTTCTGTTGATGTATCTCTCTTCAGGAGGGTTTCATCACTGGAGCTTAAGAGCGCTTAAGGTCCTGCTCAAAATACCAGTTTACTTCTCCTGCCAGCTAGACTAATGCACACCTATTTGAGTGCTTCACATTATCAGTGATCCAGAAGGTCCTGCTTGGGTCCCCATTTCCTCTTTTTCTGCAGTTCAAACCTAATTGCTGGCTAGGAATCCAGATAACAGGTTTAAGGAGCTGTGCCTCTATACCATGAATATTAGAGTCTGAATGCTTCTTATAACCATTAGTGATATGCAATCTGATAGAAGGGTCTTGCCTCTGCTCCTTCACCAAGGGAATGGCAGATTCCATATGTAGGCAGAGCTGAATGCTGACCCAAGAAAAACAGACAAATTCTATGACCCAAGAACCCTGGAGGCTCCATTTTAGTGTTGGGAGAATTGTGAGAAGAAATAGAAGAAAGAAAGAATGAAGAATTAATTGTTGTAGAAAACTGGCTTGAAAATTATAACTTTAGTAAAGTGTGCATTCCAAATGCTTTTGTTCAGATTTGTAAACTTCTGAAAGAGAATGAAATGTCCACTAATATGCAATCATATAGATGAGTGTGTTATAATCCCAAACAGCTGTTATTTGAGAGCAACAAATACAGGAATTTCTTTCTATATTGCTTCTGAAATCTTAATCAGCGTATTTCTTCCAGATGCTGGTGATATGTTAGTGATTCCAAACAGCTCTTACCTGGAAATGAAGTCAATCATTTTTACCTGGAAGAAGTTAGTAAGTAGGTTTGAGCAAAGACATTCCTAATGGATTGTTTTGATTTAGTTGGATTAATTATCCTGAAGCACTAATAAATAAATATATTTTCTTGGAGAAGGGAACAGAACCAGTGGAAAGATTAGCATGTAAACTGCATTCTTAAAATTCAGGCCTAATTCAGAGAGTTGACAAATTTTCAGTATTCAGAAAAATCGTAGACTTGGGAAGAGTCTTGGACATTCTTTTCTCCAGTCTCCTGCCTGATGAAAGGAATCCAGGAATACTGCATTTCCCATAGAAGTTCTCTTTAAAGATTTTCAACAAGGAGAAGTTCACTATCTTGATAGATATTTGGCTCCCTTTTCAAATTGCTCTTACCAACATCCTAACATTTCAACTGAGATCTTTCCTCCTTTGATGAACATCATTAGATGTACTTCCACTTTTTGAGGCATCAGATATGCCTACTCAGATACTGGATATGGAGATACAAATATATGGGTAACTTCAGATATTTCATGAATGCTATTTTGTCCCTCCTCAGGGTTCTCCTCTCCATGCAAAAATAGTTGGTTTCTTCAACCTCTCCTTATAGGATTTGTTTTCTATATCCCAGACAATATTAAATTCTATCTTCTGCCTATATTCTTTGTCATCTGTGGCATTGTTTTCTAAAGCATAAGAAAATGGAAACATGACTTCTATTCTTTTAAAAATCATGTTTTCATTAAGGCTGTCTAAAATCACATTAGCCTTTTTTGTAGCTATATGCAGCTGGTTCATGTTCAGTTTGATTAGTTGCAATCCTGAAATCCCCGCTGTATAGTGATTTCCTCACTGAAATATCACACTGATGAGGCAAAATCATATATGCGTGCATACTACCACCATCCTCTGTAATCCATGCTCCATACTTACAGGACAAATGAGAAAACTCATGTCAGTCAGCCAGGCTTGTGCACTGCAAAATAATAATAATTTGGAATCACTTTTTGTCCTGATGCTCACGCGTGCTAGTACAACATACAACTTCTTAAAAATAAATTTTTGATGTTAGTACATTTATATGGCCATGTGTGAAGTTTGGAATTGCTCCTAGGGTTTATTTTAAAAGGTCCATGATAGCTACTCTCCAGAAGGATCTAATGTATTTGCAAGCACTGCTTAGTATGTCTTTGGGTTCTGTAGGCTAGAGGATAGAAATGGAGTGAACTAACGTGTCTTCTTGCATAATTTCAGCAGCAACTGATTAAGTGGTGCATTTGTTTTAGCTACTGAATACAGAAGAGAACCTTTTTTAAAATTATTCTTTTGTTTTTCTACCATAATAACCTGAAGCAGTTGTACTGCTGCCAAATCTTGGAGATAAGCTGCCTTAAAACTGAATGTGGTGATGGCTGTTATGAATTAGTAAAATTATTGGAAAGATTGTCCTGTGTGTTTTGATTGGCAGTTTCTGCATTGGTTTAAGAATTCTTGCTATATGAAGGGTATTCAGCACAGTTTTCAGTTTTGTTTCGCTGAATGCCAAAATGCTTCCCTTTCCACAAATTTCTGCATGTGCTTCTTTTAATATAAAAAACCAAGCTAGCAACTCTGTGCTTCATTGCACCGAATCATAGAAAATAATATAGACAAGCCACAGTACAAAATGTTCTTAGACTTGGATAGGAAAGGGCATTTCCTTTTAGTGACAGTGACATTTATGCTAGCCTGTCTCAAAAATAACTCCTTGGTAAAGCTTGTCTATGTTACTTTTATAAGTCAGTGCAACGAAGCACAGGGGAACACTTTCATTTTAATTTCCATTTCACTAGTTACATCAGAGATTGTACTGTACACTTTTTCCCCCTTTGTTTCCCATCTGTGATGCTTGCAGGATGAACTATTTTTAACAGCTAACAATGAGGACTGAGTTGTTCAGTGCAAGTATTAGAGCTGTATATTCTCTTACCATGTCTCTTTCCTGCTATACCTTTTCTGATAAGTTCTCTTGGAACTGTGTCCAAAATTTACCCAGCATGCTTTTCTATTAAGAAAACATGTTTTATTTAAAAGAATTATACATGGATACAGTATGCAATATCTAAGACATGGTAATAACAACAGCAACAGTAACAATTTATTCCTACTAAATGCAGATTTGGAACCTGGTCTCCTTGATCCTTGCTATGCATGTTTTTAACTGATTTGCATGTGGATTTGGAAGCAGCGTGTGAACATATGACAGAAACATACAGTTAAATAGAAACATAGGTCATTTTCTAGTCAAGCTACTTGCTCAGTTGAGGATTTGCAATGTGTCTTCTCCAGGGCACTTTTCAGATATGTGGGCTCCCAGAATTCCCCATCCTGGATGAGAATCATGGGAGTGGAAGTCTACACATCTGGAGGGCACCCATTGCCCCTTCAGCTTCTGCTTGTAAATCCTGCAGTAAAAAAGAGCTCTCTGCCTCCCAAATTAATCTGTGCTGCATACTGGTAGGAAGTGACTCCTAAAGTTCCTCCAAACTCTTTTTTCTTTCCGTTTTCTACCATTGGTTATAACTATCCTATGAATCAACACAGAATAAACCTGCTCATCTTCTGCATGCTAGCCCTCAGATATGTGAAGGTGTTTGTCTTGTCCTTCCTTAATCTTCCCTTCCTTCAGAGTTAGTATAGATGGTAGAATATGAAGGTATCATTGCAAAGGGCAGTCTGTCCAATAATTGCTTCATGAATATACTCCTCCACACAGAATTTAGTATTGTTAACTGGAGGCAATTTTACTATCCTGCACTTTCCTGGACTTTGGGCAAATATTTCTCAGCAACTTGCGTTACAAAAACAATCTATCTTTGTGACAGTTCAGCAATTCTTATCTAGAGACACTTTTATTTTAGTTCTTTTGGTGGGGTGTGTGCATTTCATTCTAACCATATATAGTTGCAGCTACCAGGCATCTTAAAGTTTTCATTGATGTAAGATTTTTATATTTTGCTGTGCCACCTTAAAAATAGTAGGATGTCACATTTTCTTTCTCCCTTTCTCTTTCTGCACTTGTGGGTATACAGTGCTGTAGGATTTGACTGTGCATACTCAGTTGTAATATTTTACAACTAGAGAGCAATGTGAGTAAAAAAAAACTCAAAATCCCCACATGATGCGTATAAATTAGAAACATTTGAAAATTAAGAGAGGGAAAGTGAGGAATAAGTAAAAGTGTGATGGTACATAATCTGTAGAATTCTTTACCATGAGACATGGTGATAACCACTAACTTCAATAGCTTTAAGAGGGGATTGGGTCAGTGTTATTGAAGTCATGCCTATCTGAGACAATTGGTCTTGAAAACTCAGTGTAACTTTTAGATTGAGGACACTCTGCCTCCAAATATCATTTGCAAGGAAACTATGTAGGAGACAAGTACATCTCCATATTTTGCTTCTGAGCAGCCCAGGGGCATCTAGTTAACCATTATGAGGGGGGAAGGTGCTGGACTAAGAGGGTCCTTGGCCTGACCCAGCAAGGCTATGCATGTGTTCTTATATAAAACTTGGCATAGCATCATTAGGGGAATGGTAGGGCAGATCAATCCTAAATTAATCTCAAGTCAGAAATTTGGATATTCTTTGGAGTGCATCAGAGGTGAGCACATATCCTTGCATATAGCTGGAAGTTTGGCTGAGAGTTGCTGCAGTTAAAATGGTTTTTGAGTGAAAGAAAAGAAAGGAGAGCAAAAGGTCACACAAGACAGCTTTGCTTAGGATTGTCAAGTCCCATCTGCTTGTCTTCTCTCCACAGGGCAGAATTCATTGGATTATTGTACACTCAAAAGTTCAGCAAACCACTTTTACTTTTCACTGCAAGAAAATGCCTTTTAGGTATTTGGGGCTTGTTGGGACTTTGAGACTGTCATGCTACAGGGGTTTATACCCTTGGGTGCTTCTATAGATAGAGACATACGGTTCAGAGCTGTCATAATGCCCCAAAAATGGAAGGAAAAGATCGGAGACAATATAATTTCTTCTGACTATCTCAGATAAAGTAAAACTGATGATCAGATGTGTGGAACATCATGCCTTCATGTCTACTTGAGCTAATTTCTTCAGCTTTTTTCAAAGATCATTGTTCCCCTTTGGCTGCTCCAAAGCAAAGGTCACTTTTAGAAAACTTTATCACTGAAAAGGCTATACACTTAACAATGAACTGGAGAGAGGTTGTTATAAGTGGATAAAACTTGTAGCTAACCATAGAGCGCCAGTGTGAATTAATGCAGGATTAGAAATACATTACCAAGATTTAAAAGTATTATTAGACAAAAGGCTGAATAACTTGCTGTCATGTGCTGTCGAGCATCTTCAGCAGAAGTGCAAAGCTAGTAGTTTCTTTGAAGATGACAAGAGTAGGTATAGACATTTAAATACAGAAATAGGACAACCAAATTGCTGACACAAACGAATATTCACATTACATTTCTGATGAAAAAGGTTCCTTAACTTAAAATATCATTTACTGGTAAACAAAAGCCTTGAGAATTTATTTATTTACTTAATGGGTTTATATGGTTGATATCCCTTTCATGGATCACTGCCGTGTCATAGTGAAGGGGCTTGTGTAACTCAATGAAGCCATGAGCTATGCCGTGCAGGGCCACCCAAGATGGACAGGTCATGACAGAGAGTTCTGACAAAACGTGATCCACTGGAGAAGGAAATGGCAACCCACTCCAGTATCCTTGCCAAGAAAACCCCACGGACAATATCAGAAGGCTAAAAGATATGACGCCAGAAGATGAGCCCCTCAGGTCGGAAGGTGTCCAATATG